CAGTGTGGAGGAAGAAGGACAGAGACACACTTACACAGTGTGGAGGAAGAAGGACAGAGACACACTTACACAGTGTGGAGGAAGAAGGACAGAGACACACTTACACAGTGTGGAGGAAGAAGGACAGAGACACACTTACTTACACAGTGTGGAGGAAGAAGGACAGAGACACACTTACACAGTGTGGGGGAAGAAGGACAGAGACACACTTACACAGTGTGGAGGAAGAAGAAGGAGACACACTTACTTACACAGTGTGGAGGAAGAAGGACAGAGACACACACAGTGTGGAGGAAGAAGAAGGACAGAGACACACTTACACAGTGTGGAGGAAGAAGGACAGAGACACACTTACACAGTGTGGAGGAAGAAGAAGGAGACACACTTACACAGTGTGGAGGAAGAAGGACAGAGACACACTTACTTACACAGTGTGGAGGAAGAAGGACAGAGACACACTTACTTACACAGTGTGGAGGAAGAAGGACAGAGACACACTTACACAGTGTGGAGGAAGAAGGACAGAGACACACTTACACACTTACACAGTGTGGAGGAAGAAGGACAGAGACACACTTACACACTTACACAGTCAAGTCCAGAGGAGTGTTCAAGGAGACAGTAAGAAGCTTCACAATTGTTTGAAGTTTGGAATTAGACCAGATGCACTCTCTCTCTCTCTCATAGGGGGCTCCAGGAATTTTTTCATAGGATCTTGAAGACAAATTTTTTGGACACAAATATGTCCTTATTTATTAGCACTCGATGTTTTGCACAGAACTGCCCTGTAGGAAGATCCTTTATGATTAAATATACCAAATAATTATAACTTTATTTTGGGTTTCAACTTTGTTTTGATTCAACTCTTCATTTACCTCTCTATTTTACTTAATCTGAATGCTGGTTTATATGAAAATTTTCCAAACAGTGAAAATCATTTTTCAAAAATAGGTTTTGTGCATCGAGTTTGATTTCTAGGGAAAAAAAAATCTGCAATTTTGGAAAAATAAGTCATAATTTGTAATATTTAATAATTAATTAATTGTCAATAAATTCTATATAAGTACAAGGCATAGATGTGTGTTTGTCTTAATGAGTTCTAAAATCCACAGAATGTTTACTAATTTCTAAAGAATTTTCATCTCTGAAGGCATATAAGATGTTAGGAAAGCATAAAACTCTATCAGTTACTAGGTGTGTGATGCTGTATGAGATATTAACACCACCAAGCCTCAGTTCCTTATCTCTAAAATGGAGATAATGTCTACCTTACCCAGGTGGTTGAAAGAATCAAATGAATGTAAATGTCTAGCCCAAGTCTGGCACTTATAGGATAATCAGGCAGTTTAATTTTCTTCCTTTCCTCAACTCCCCTATTCAGTCAGAGTAACTGGGGTATTCTTAAAAATGCAGAGGCATGCAGCAAGTAAGATATGTTTAAAAATAGTAAAACCCGTGTTTATTTTGTAAATAGGTAAACTTGCCGTAACTGAGCAGTAAAAATTGCTTTTAAAAATGTGTAATTGTCTATCTCTGAAGTAGAAATTATCCACAGAATATATTACTATCTATCGAAGTCTTATCTGATGGTCCTTTACTGCTTTGTTTCTTTTACTTGCCTGGAAACTTTTACTTTGTTACTTTTACTTTCTACTGGAAAGCAGAAAGAAAAGGAAATGCAAATCTCACTGGCACCCATCCTCCGATGCCACTCAGGGAATTATTCTCAGTACTGTTTAAGATGAAATGCATCAGACAATTGAGAAGGTGATATTATTCCAGCTAGTGCCATAGGGACAGCCCCCAGATCAGAAAAGTAGAGTGCCTCTGCAAAGTGGATTTGCCTTAAGGCATTTACAGGAAAGAGTAGACAAGTTGCAGGTGTGAGGATTCCCAGCTGTATTGTTTTGCAATCAGAAGTCTTATTTAGGTAGGGAGAAAATTTTTATTTCTGTGTCTTGCTAAGTTCAAATAACAAGCAGTTGTAATCTTATCTAATCATTCATGAGATAAAGAATAGGACGTTTTTAATCCTAGCTCTTTGGGAGGCCAAGGTAGGTGGATCACTTGAGGCCAGGAGTTTGAGACCAGCCTGACCAACATGGTGAAACCCTATCTCTACTAAAACTACAACAAGTAGCTGGGTATGGTGGCATGTACTTGTAATCCCAGATATTAGGGAGGCTGAGGCAAGAGAATTGCTTGAACCTGGAAGGTGGAGGTTGCATTGAGCCGAGATCATCCCACCACACTCCAGCCTAGATGACAGAGTGAGATTCCATCTCAAAAAATAAAAAAGAATAACAGGACATTAGGTAGAGGCACAGGGAAGGGAGAAGTTACACCTGGTTTTGTCAGCAGGTTCAAACAAAGGTGAAAAATGTGTGTTTGGCCTTGTCACAGGTAAATAAGAAAGCCATTTACAAGCCTTATGGGAGTAACAAGAAAGAATGGACAGTGACTCCTGTGTGAGTCACATGGAGGAGGGGTGATTCATTTCCTTAAGCTTTTCCCAGAACACAAAATGGTGAGGCATTTCTGAAAACAAGAAGTTGGTGAGATTTCTTAAGCACAACTATTTTCTGAAAGCTCGAGGCTCTGGAAGAGTTCAATGTTGTTAGTCCTCCTTCCCTTAGTTCAAGACAGATAAATTACATTTGCTGTTGAACAAGTCATAGGTGGTCATAAATCTCCTGAGTGAGGTAAACCAGAGTGTAAGAACTATTCTTGTGAGGACTCTTAATGACATGATGTCTGCAAAATTAATTGAATTACCTGTTGGAAAATGAAATTACAATACATTTACTTTAAATTTTAATTGACTTTTATTTTCAGTTCTAGAATCAGGCAACACCTCATTCTGTAAAATAGAGTGAGAGTTCCAATGAACTGAATAGAGGAGGTTGAATTTTATAAAAATGAAAATGGCCAAAGGAAGCATAAAGAGAGAACAAAAAACAAATTCATTCTTTCAACGTTACTTTCCTTATAGGGTTCAAACAGAGGAGATATCCTTATGATGCTGACTCAGATATTGAAATCTGCTGTTTTTTAGGTAAACTGCCCTGTTTGAAAGTTCAGTTTGATCACATGGCACTTAGCCCAAGTGGCTGCATTCTAATTTGGTCTTGTCTGCTGGGGCCTAACACAGGAGACTAGTCCAAAATAATGGTGCCCCATAAACACATCTATTGAGAGGTAGTGGCAAGGGTCAGTTGTTTTAGAGTCCTAGAGATAAGGCATCTTATATGAAAAATAAAATATATGTATATATTAATATAAAAAGTTAGATTAAAGTAAAGAGCCAAGAGTTCAACTCTGAGAATGGTTGGTCTAGTGGATTCCAGAGTCGGTGGATGAAAACCTTTTAAGTATGTAGCACTGCTTATGGAGTTTCTTGAAGCTAAGAAGTTAATGTTCTTGGTGATATTGTCCTGTCTTGGTTACTTCTCATATAAGGTTATGCATGACCTGAGCATTTCACTGAGCTTTCTTAGTGGCCTAGACAGTGAATTGCTCAGGGAGAAATTTAGTCCGTATATGGTTTTCTGTGGTGATAAGTTCCGGAGCGTATATATCAAGTCATCAGGTTTTAGCCCCCAGTCCTTCTTCAGATCTGGAGGTGAAAGAATAACCACAAGGCAACCATGAGTCTCAGTAAGGATCTCTAGCTAGTCAGACTTTTGTTCTCAGTGATACTAAGTTAAGAAGAAGGGAGAAAAGTTGAAGAAACTAGTTCGAAAGGTTATAGCCAGATATTGAAAAAGATGAGAAGAACTGAAAATTTGGTAAAAGTTGACAATTTGTTCAAGGTAACAAAATCCAGTCCAGTCACAAGTAGGTAACAAAACCAGATATTGCACAGTGGGGAAGGAAGCCAAATAAATCACAACCAAACAGTTTGCATCCATCAGTTACCTACAATTTATAAAGAGGTGCAAATAGTTCAAAGACAACTGAATTATTGTTATCTTTGAACCTAAAGGTCTGTTATAGTTTTCCATTGAAACAAAGTTTCCCTGAACAAAAATAGTCTTAAAAAATTATTGTTGATCATAAAATAATGTAGTTTTATTCTTACTGATTTAGCCTGATTATTACTTACATAGGTACAGAAAGAATGGTGATTTACCATATACATCTTCTTAAGTTTTCTTTGTTGGAAGTTGTCATTAGAAACTCTTGATTCAATTTTTGGCTTTTATTTATTTAGTGTTTTTGTTTTGCTTTGCTTTGTTTTTTGAGACAGAGTCTTGCTCTGTCACCCAGGCTGGTATACAGTGGCATGATCTCAGCTCACTGCAACATCTGCCTCCCAGGTTCGAGCAATTCTCCTGCCTCAGCATCCCAAGTAGCTGGTACTACAGGCCCGAACCACCACACCTGGCTAATTTTTGTATTTTCAGTAGAAATGGAGTTTCACCATGTTGGCCAAGCTGGTCTCGAACTCCTGACCTCAAGTGATCTGCCCACCTCGACCTCCCAAGGTGCTGGGATAACAGGTGTGAGCCACTGCACCCGGGAAATTTTAACTTTAATTTTAACAGGTTTTGGGCAAGTTTTCCTAAGAGGGCTTCAAAAGCATTGGCTCCATCAAGTCAAGCCAAGTTTCTTTAGTGTCTGGTCATAGCTGATTCAATACTCATCATTATCAAGCATGAAATGACAGGCATGGTCTTGGTTAGTTAATAATAAGGACTATCCTTATTATTAACAAGAAATAATTGGAATCAAATATTGTTTTTTCCTTGTTAATGACAAGGGATACAATACAATCTCTTCTTAGTGAACTTATGCATATAACTCTGCTATGAAAATAAGAATGTTTAATAAGAGTTTCTGATTTCTAGAGGGAGCAAGCAGGGGAAACAAAGATAAAAGTTTTATTTCTGTTTATAAAGCAGAGTCTACTAAATTGTTATAAGTTATAGACCACTTAAGAGAAAAGAGAGAAGGGGTTTCTTATACCCAGAACACAGAACATTAAAACATCAACAATATTCCAATCAAAACCAACAAGTGGTACCCATCAGTTTATTTAGTCCTATGCAATGAATTCTTGTTTCACACAGTCCTGGGGTGGCAAGATCATAAACCCATTTGTGAACTGAAGTCCCAGAAATACTGACTCAGTCCACTGGGATGGCCTCAAAGTTGTTCATGCAGTGCCATCAGAAGCTGTCCACCAAGGTACAGTGCCTGGAATAGTCCTATCCCACAAGGCTCTAAGACCGTCTTTCTTGGCTGACAATGACATACTCTGGCTGTGCCTTGTTGCAGGTGATTTCAGAGAAGCATCATGGCAGTACAAACACTTTCTGTAGATGACAAAGATTTAAAGTGGGTGTGGTTAACTTATGATTAATGATTTTCAAAACAAATATCTGAGAGGATTTGTTACAGGAATAATACAGTTGACAAGGAAGTTTGATTCTTTCTGTGACATGCAAAATAAAATCACTCCAAAAAGCTAAAGACAAAATGCAAATAAACATATGATTAACCATATCGTCAGAGTGGAGATCACATCTAATGTGTAAAAATGGATGAACATAACCTTTACAGAGAAAAAGCCTTCAGACAGAATGATCTTGACACATAACGCACATGACTAAACAAACATACAATTAGAATAACCCAAGAATGTATCAAAATTATTGAGAAAGACTCAGTAAGTCTGGTGGAGGTCAGGCCGGGTGTGGTGGCTCACGCCTATAATCCCAGCACTTTGGGAGGCTGAGGCAGGTGGATCACGAGGTCAAGAGATCGAGACCATCCTGGTCAACAAGGTGAAACCCCGTCTCTACTAAAAATACAAAAATTAGCTGGGCATGGTGGCATGTGCCTGTAGTCCCAGCTACTCGGGAGGCTGAGGCCAGAGAATTGCTTGAACCCAGAAGGCGGAGGTTGCAGTGAGCTGAGATCGTGCCATTGCACTCCAGTCTGGGTAACAACAGCGAAACTCCATCTCAATAAATAAATAAATAAATAAAAAGTCTGGAGGAAGTCTTAAACATCTGTTATATGAACAAAACTCCAGATATGAGTCATGTGAATCCCCAAAAGAAAACCATTGGCCTAGAATTCAAATTAAAGAAATAATGTTACTATCTAGTTAACATTTTCAAAAATAACTGCAATTATGACAAATAACACTATACTGTTGTTTTCTGATTTCAGACAAAAACAGATAAGATTTGATATTTGTGTATCAAACAAAATTTACTGAAGTCTTTAAAGCAATTGGCTTCAGACTATTTAAATTTACTTCATGTAGTGTAACCTTCTATGAAGCACTATTTGTGAATCCTTTCCCTGATTTCTGCATCTGATAATTCTTTTAATTAAAGTTTACATTTTAAATTTCGTTTGAAAGGGGTTTAGGTAATTTCTTTTAAAAGGTCCTTTCATTATTCCTGCTGGTAGATTTGGGAGAATATATGTTGACCAGACAAGAGCAGGGATGAAACTCTAGCATATAGTCATTGAATTTCTGCATGTAGCCACTTCACGGTCTGGGTTTCTTTAGGTTCACAGGTAGAGAGTGATTCTAACTTTACACTATAATTTCCCATTTCCACCCAGTTCAGACCCTACCTATTTCACAGATTCTTTTATTAGATTAATGTAATAGCTTCAGTTAAAACTAGGTTGCATAGACAATATGTATGAGATCAGAGACAGAAAGCATAGTTTAAAAAGATGAAGAAAAGAATCAAATTGCAGATACCAGCATATAGCTTTAAAGCCAATAACAATTCGCTTAGACTTTAAACTCTTTTGATGAGGTACCACTGTGATTAAGCTATCAGGAATTACTACTTAACATTTATGAGACTTACGTAACCACTGTGCTTGCTGGTAATTGCCAAATAAGTAACTCATTAGTATTTCATGGGTATAATTAATGCCACTAAGAAAAGTTAAACAAATTTAAATTATCTTTGTTTAAAAACATACTTTGGCCAGGCACGGGGCTCATGCCTGTAATCTCAGCACTTTGGAAGGCCTAGGCGGGCAGATTATGATATCAAGTGATCAAGACCATCCTGGCCAACATGGTTAATAGCCCATCTCTACTAAAAATACAAAAATTAGCTGGCCATGGTAGTGCATGCCTATAGTCCCAGCCACTTGGGTGGCTGAGGCAGGAGAATTGCTTCAACCCGGGAGGCGGAGGTTGCAATGAGCTGAGATCGTGCCACTGCACTCCAGCCTGGCAACAGAACAAGACTCTGTCTCAAAAACCAAAGCAAAACAAAAAACATACTTCAGAGATGCTTGAGATTAAAACTGGCAAAATCTCTATGAAATAATTATTAAAACCTACTTCATGGAGGTTATTCCATTTGTGTGACATCCTCACTATTTTGTTTTCACTGAAAGATGTGTTTTCTTTCTTCCAACTCTTCTATTTACCACTTTTATTTATTGCACATAATATACACTTATATGTGTATACATAAGCATTCAGAAACTATATTTTGAGTGTCTTCTATGCTGCTCATACTATGTTGTGTGCTGGAGACTTATAGTTAATAATAGAGAGCTACTTCTGCCCTCCTGGAGCTTCTAGTCTAAAGAAGGACACAATGACCATACCGGGTGGTGAAATGTGATAAAATGGGTAAGTTGAGCACGAGCTGGGAGTTTAAAGGAGGAGCATCAAATACCCTTGAGAATGGAAAAAGAAAAGTCAGAACGGATTACTAAAGAATATAACAAATAAAGTGCAAAGGTAAGTAGAAGTATGCCATGTAGGAGTGGGAAGAGAGGACAGTCACCTTCAGAAATTTCCATGTGCCCTGTGTATTCACAGGTTATAACTGAAATCAATCAATACATTTCAGCACAAGAACTCTGCATTACTTATATATCCATGTTGCCTAGGTCAGGGGTTGGCATTTACTAGGTGTACTATCCATGTTTGATCAAAGAAATAAAGGGAAAGATGCAGAGAGTTATAGTGTGTTCAGGAAGTAGACACAGATCTACTAAGGGATGAAATTTCCTGATGCCCTTGTACAAGTAAACCCTACTAGGTTAAATATATCAGGTCACAGATGGCGAACGTACAGGAAAAGAAACCTTTTCTAAAAAGGATTGCCTTATTTTTGGACAGGTATAAGTCATGAGATAGGAAAGAGATGTTTCTTGTGCTAACGTGGGACACAAGGCAGAAGATCAAGATGACAGTTAGGGACATGAATCAAAGAAAATCTGTGGAGAAGATGGAAGGGAGCAATGACAGCAGGAAAGAGTAACAAGCAATGATTTTTAAAAAGTGTGAAAGGAAAATGTAAAAGTCTGTGGGTAAGAAGATTGAGGAAAACTGGAAATAGAGGACAAGGAAGTGAAGGAAGAACAAATATAAAGCAACAGTAAGAAGATTTGAACATCCACTCCAAGTCAAACTCCTGAGAGTGACTATAAGAAGAAAAGGTTAACATATATTTTTGGCTGTCTTGTCAAGAACCTAAAGTCTTTTGACTAGAAAAAAAAAATACACCTTTTTATTATGATAAGAAACCAAAAGTTTCGATATTGAATCAAATGCTTGTCAGACAAATAGATGATAATTTTTGGAAACAATTGCCCAAGTTTTTCCCTTGAAGAACAAAAATATATATTTATGGCATTTGTTTAGCCACAAGTAAACAGTCAAATTATTTTGTTTATAACCTCAAACCCAAAAGCTTGTTTAGAACAGAAATATGAACCAGAAAGAAATTACATGGTAAATCAAACCCCTATTTTGGGGCTGGGACACTATGCAAAGTGGTTTACAATTTGTTCTCTGCAATGTAAATGAAAACCCCAAGATATTGGCAAAGAGGAAACTCCTTTTTTTTTCTTACCCATCAGATGGGCAAAAATCCAAAAGTTTGAAAACCCAGTCCCTTGGCGTAGCTATGGGGAAAAAGGCCCTCTCATTTAGAGCTGGTGAAACTGCAAAATGTCACAACTTCCATAAAGAGAAATTTAACAATATCTAATAAAAGCACATATGCAGTTATCTTTTGACCCAACAACTCCACTTCCAAGAATGATTACAAAAATATACTGGCAGAATGTGAAAATACATAGACTTAAATAATTCACCACCATCTTATTTTGATACGTAAACAATAGAAACCATCCAGATGTCTGATTACAGAACTGGTTGAATAAACTATGGTGTATCCACACAATAGAGTGGTGTGTATCTGTAAAAAGAATAATAAACAAAGCCAAGCACAGTGGCTCATGCCTGTAATTTCAGCATTTTGGGAAGCTGAGGCAGGAGAATCACTTGAGCCCAGGAGTTTGAGACCAGCCTGGGTAATATAGAGAGACTCCCATCTCTACAAAAAAAAAATTTTTTTTAATTACTCAGGTGTAGTAAGAAGATTTACTTCTAACTAGATGTGGATCTAGTTACTTAGAAGGCTGAGGCAGGAGGATTGCTTGAGCCTAGGAATTTGACATTGCAGTGAGCTATGACTGCACCACTGCACTCCAGCCTCGGTGATAGGAAGAGATTCTGTCTCAAACCAACAAACAAGACTCATACGTAAAAAATAGAATTTTCTATATCATATGAAGGTATCTCTAGTATATATTGATGAATTTAAAATGTTAGTAAATAAAACGGATGCATATTATAATACTATTTAGCTTAAAAGGGGTACTATGGGAATACTTATATATTTTATTATGTTTTAGATAATGGAATATTATATATATTTATTTATCTATAAAGAATGGAAGAAAATTGGGTGAAAGAGAGACGGACAGAAACTAGATTTCTTAGCATATACAATATTTTGTAGATTTGACTTTGGAATCATGTAACTATTTTACTTAGGTATAAAACATTTTTTCATTCTAAAGCTAATTTTCAAATCTAAAGCAAATTGAAATAAATAAAATGGTGAATCTGTTAACAATATCACTAAGTATAGTGATATTATTGAATTAACTTTAAAACTCAGTAATTTAAGTGTCCATTCCCAGTTGGATGTACCCTAAGGATAAAAAAAAAAATTGCAAAAGAATATTAAACTGTGGTTAGGAAACATTTATTGTGATTGTAGGATTTGTATTATAATTTTGAAACTAATATATGTATTGTGGGAAAAGTGAACATTTTTATTAACAGGTATTTTTACCATAAAAAAGTAGGTGTATGTATATCATATATATGATATATATAATCATATGTATTACAAAATCATATATACATGATAACAAGTAAATTAAAAATCTCTCATCTTGAATTTTATTGGAAGTATTAAGAGTCAGTATGAACCATAAGTATGTTATATACAATGGTTAA